ATTTAGCGACTGATCAATGAGAGAAGTTTCAGCGATGGATCAACGAAGAAACTTTCAGGGACTTTCAGCGACGGATTTTTCCTCGCTAATCCGTCGCTAACTTGTATTAATCTAAAAAATATTTTTTTGAAATTACATAATTCTTGTATTTATTTATACAAAACCTGGTCATAATATAACAAACCAAAACTGTGAACAAATTAAAACTAACCAATTCATACAATTTAAAATATCCAATTCATACAATTTAATCTTTAGATTTATACAATCTAACTACCGGGAGGTGGGGAGGGGGGAAAACGTATTCTGACTGCCGCATAAACGCAACAAAATACTCCTATAAGACGGTCTGTTCGGCTAACGCAGCAGCGTGTTTAGCCTGTTCGACTGCCGAGGCAACTTGTCTGGCCTCCAAATATGCTCTATTCTTTCGTTCAGTCTCCAGTTCCTCCTCTACCCTTGCCAACTTCTTTCTCTCAACTCCGTTATTTGTAAATATTCAATATTCGACAAAATCAGTAATTTGCTCGCGATTTTAGTAATGAGAAAGTTTATAACAATATAACCAACATATCTCCGCTCTTGACTCGTATGATGACTCGGTGCTACTGCTAAGAGGGATCCTGTGTGGTCTCAAAACCAAAGATGCGGCATTTCCTCCGTCCTCCGACATTCTGCTCCCAGTGGGCTTTATTCGGTTTTATTAATTAATTTTTGTAATATTCTAATAATAAATAATTAAAAATTTAATAATCAATAATTAATAATTAATTAAATTTGTAGTTATTAAATAAAAAATCAGTGAGGGATTAGCGAGGGATCTGACCAAAAACGTATTCTCTCGCTGATCCCTTGCAGATCAGCGAGGGATTTTTTTCTCTCGCTGATTTTCGTCGCTAATACCTTGTTTTCTAGTAGTGACGACTCCCACCAAAATAACCGACTTAACTGTCGATGACTATATATAAGATTTGGGTTCATTACAGGGCGACGATCTTCTGCATATTATTACTCTGCCAAAATTTTGTCTCTTAAGGTACATAAACAAGCAAGGAAATTATGTGTTTGATTTTGAACTTTGCCTGAAATCCATATCGTTGTTCTTGGATCATCCCAAATCTGATTTCGTGATACCCCAGGCTATAGGGTCGAAATCACATATTTTGAAAAGTGTTTAATACATGATCCTTGAATTATCCAAGTATATTGATATTCTATTTCTAAAATTCTAACACTGTTCTCATTTGAACTTCCATCTATATATATTATAATCGATTACTTTCATATATTAAAATAGTACCATACAAAACTGATGGATATGATGAAAAGGAGTTTCGTGAGAAAACATAAATTATATACATCTCTTAGTAGTGCAAATAGCAATACCCACTTCTTTTCTTGTACTCTTAACTTGCCCAAATCGTTGATTGTTTGAGAGTTTTGAGTTGAAGGCCTCATGTGATCTTATAAAGACAAGTCTGTGACATTTGGTATTAGTTCAGGTCGATACAAGGCATGGCCAATGAGTCCGACAAGAACGTGGTTGGTGCAAGCGGTGTTGAGGGGAATTTGAGACTCAAAATCTCGAGCTAAAGAGCGTGGAGGTTCTTGGCCAACAAAAGTCTAGCCATGAAGAAAATAATAAAAACCAAATTTGTTCATCCAGCTAACACTGAATAAATAGGTGGGCAATAGCCGGTAACATGGCCGAGTGTAAATCCAAGCTTTTTAGGCAAATCGCAAAATACTATATAGGTGTATGAATTAGACAAACCACCAAAAAAAAAAGGCATGGGCCATTTCTGGAGGGCCCGATGGCCCATTCCCCATTAAGCATGAGAATGAGACCCACTCCATTGGGAAACCTGGTGTCTCCATCCCCATCGGGACGAGAATTCCCTGCAAAACCGGGATGGGGGATGGGAACGGGGATCCCAAAAGTTAAAAACCAGGGCTGGGAGGGAGCCGAGTAACATGATCATTGCCTCGCCCCTTCTCCGTATATTAAATATATTAGACTATCTCCAACCTTAATACTAAAAGAATATCAAAACACCAAATTTGGTGGGCCCATTAACACACAAAAAAATGGCAAAACCGTGAATATACTGGACGGTTGGAGATGCTCTTATATATTTATTCTTGAATACATTGTTTTTAAAGCATTGTATATTTTAGATTTAGAAATAGTATTTTAATATTTTTCTTTTCATATATATTTTTTCTAATTTATTTTTACCTTTTTTAGATAAAGCACATGGGAAGCCGAAAACATTCGATCAAACAATTACATATAATGTTGCAATTTTGTTAACATATGAATATTTGATCCTCCATGAAAGCAAAATTTTGGAAATATGTAAGATATAATCATGGACCATTTTGGATCGAATGTGATGTTTAACACATTTGGTTTAGACATCTCATATATCCCTATTTCCCGGTTGGGGATCCCCGTTCCCTGTTAGGCACGGGGATATGATCATATTCCCCGACGGGGGATGGGGACTGGAACGATAACGTAGATTGAGGACTGAGGACCAGGATGGGATTAGAGACGGGAATATAATCATATTTCCAGCCCCATTTTTCATGCCTAGGTCTCACGGTCATCATGGATGAGGATCCAAAAAGGAGACCTCTCATTTGATTACCGATGGGGGTATTCAAGGTCCGGTCTGGACGGTTTAACCCCCAAACCACAAACTAAACTACAATAGTGGTCTAGAAAGTTGCTAAAATCGAGTGGTTTGACAACAAGTGACTAAACCGGTCAAACCGGACCACAAAAAGGCGGTATAATCTGGTATTTAGGCGGTTTACACCTCTTATCGGCTTAAAACTCAAAAAACCATAACATTTATATTCAATATGAAATTTCTATCAATATAACATTATTAAAAAAAATAGACTACTGAATTATAAAAGATACATCTATATCTATAGCTAAAAGAAACTGAACAAGTAGAAAAAAGGTTAAACAAATCCACCGACAATAGTTGGAATTTTGGGCGAATATTGAAAAAGTCAAATGACGATTTGAAATTTGGATTTGGTTTTCGAGGGACTTCGGAATTTTGACAATTTAAATGACGTGGTCAATTGCGAAATGAGAACTAAAAATTTAATGTCTTGAACGAATTTGTTTTAATTGTGTCACAAAGTTGAGGATATAACATGAAAAATAAACATAATTAACATACGTATATTTTTTTGGCGGTCGATTCGGTCCAGACCGCTCAAAAAATGTTCAAACCACAGATAAAACCGACAAAGCCGTTTGACTATTTTTTAGATTGGACCGGACCGCCGGTTAGACTTGGTTTGACTGGTTTGAACCGTCCAATGGTTTTTTTGAACACCCCTAATTACCCACCCCCTTCCGGTGGAGAAGCCAACAAATACAATCATCGTATTTCGTACCGAATGAAAAACACCAAGTTAAAATTCTTGTAGGTGAAGGTCATAAAGTGCAACAGTCAAACTCAAGAGTCAAAAAAGTCTAATTCATGAAGCAAATTGGAGAGCAAGAGTAAGGGCCGTTTACCAAACACTTACCTGGTAAGTGCTTACCGGTAAAATTTAACACTATTATTTACTTAACGGGTAAGATTTTAGTCCACCAAAACGACATTGTATTCAACAATTTACCCGGTAAGCGCTTACCATGGTAAGAGTGTCGCCCTCACTTACCGGGTAAGACTCATGGTCCTTGTTTCGCTCTTATGGGGTAAGATTCTTGGTTCTTGCCATAATCATCCGGTAAGGTAATGTGACTTAGTAAATGTTTACCCGGGTAAGTGTTTGGTAAACGGCCCCTAATAATTATTAGAAACAATAAAGTGGGAGATACAACGTCCTTCCGATAACGATATAAAATTAGCTTTTTATGGTAACCGTAGGAGTCCATACAAGCTTATTTACAGCTAACAGCCATGCACACCCTCCAATCGCCCTAAAGGGACTTTTAACTCGGGAGCAAACCTAAGGTCTTATCAGTTAAGCTACTTTTCGGGAGATCAAACCTGGGTCTAACAGGCTGCATGTTCTTTGTGAAGGCAGTGCCATGGGTTTCGGTTGGTTCAGTCTACATACATCTTACCCTCTTCAAACCCTACTCCACGTGGAACTCATTGGGCCCGTTTGGTTGTTTTTAGGCATCGCTCACGGGTACAAAATCCAGCACAACGAATTGTATTGTAGTGTATGCTACCAACTGCACCATGTCTGTATTTTCCTAGCCCTGCTAACATAACTCCTTGTATTTCACTTCTATTTTGCATACCCGCAGTCTTAATGGAAACAGCCTCTTTACCTATCGGATGTCCTACGTCTGTGTGGGACATACCAAGTACGCTCAATTTAATCAAGCCAAGTTGCAGCAAGTTAAGTTCTTTTCGAGTCTTTAACTACTGTTTCATTAAGATATCTATGAATGATTATGAATCTGCTGTATAGAACCCTGAACACTGAAAAGCATAAGATGACATTTAACCTCAACATATTGTTACTCTAATGAAAAACTTGATTCTGTGCCATATGGATGGCAGATTGATCATCACCCTACAACGTTACTCACTGGTTAGTTCATGTAATAGTACATCCACCGTAGAACGGAATGGGGATTCGGCGCCAGATCATTATATTGTCTTTTGCTTCTTGCTCTTCCACCAACGACAACGAACACAACACACAGACAAATGACATCTTTCTTAGTTTGCATATGGAAATCCCGCGATCCACCCCAAACCCTCCACAAGGAACCACATTGCAGTAACTAGCACAAGGGGGCGACGTGAACTAACCAACTGCACTCATAAGGTTAACAGAATCTAAACCAAACGAAACCGGTTTGGTTCGGCCAATTTGGGATTTGTTTTTCTTCTGCTAGTTTTCACCCAAAAGAACACATATACAGAATAATAGTATGAATTCATATACATGATCTAAGAACTCAAAAACACATAGAAACATCAAACATTACGAACCACATCAAGACATTCACAAACATATCGAATGTGTAAAAACGCACAAAGACCCATAAGTGATTCTTAAAATTATGGAATTAGAACAGTTACAAATACAATCATAAGGATGAAAGCCAAATATAAAAGCAACAAACATTCAGTCAACTATGATAAGCACAAATTAAGGATTAAGACTCACTTAAGAGATGAAAACTCAGCGACTTTGGTTGACATCAGGAGGATCGGAGGGGCGGGGAGGGGAATCCCGAGGGGCGACGTCGCTTTGATGGAAGGAAGGGATAGGATTACCGCCCTTAATTACCCAACCGAGGGCAAAGAAAGAAAGTCCGGCAAGTATGGCGGTTCCCCAAGCGTGTGAATACCATTTGCTGTACTGTCTGATGGCGTACTTCCATTGGTCCCTCAGGGTTGCTGCATCAGGGTTCGTAATTTCAGGCGGGTTGGGGAAATTTGGTTTATAACGACTGCTACTATCCCCGATTTCACCAGAGACCCTAGGTTTGTTAGGTGGATTTTGGCGGTGATGATCGTCGGCCATTGTTGGGGGAGACGAAGGAAGTTCTCTAGTTAATTGCAAAAAACCGAGTTGGGATTATTCAGATATGTTTGATCACTATCCCTTTCCGACCACTTCTCAACTAAAATATTATTTAAAAAAAACTGTTTGGGACCATTTAAACCGGTCGAATCAAATTAAATCAGATCGTTTTTGGAGGTTTAAGCGGTCTGATGGTTTGGTCTGGTTTGGAAAATAGTAAAACCGGACAGTCCGGTTTGCAGTCTGGAACTCTTTTTGAGCGGTTTGGACCAAACTGACCGTCAAATACATACATACACACACACACACACACACATATATATATATATATATATATATATATATTCTAGTATTAGCAAGCCCAATTTTTTTAACTTAAGGGTTATGATCCAAATATATTTCTAAGCCCAACATATAGTCTAACATCTAACATAATCAAATCCAAATGAATCGGTGCCTAAAAATCCCTAAACCAGTAAACATATCGACACATTTGAATTGAAGGTCTCCAAATTCTGAAATCTCACAAGAACTCTATCAATTTATCGATTTTGTTAAGAACTCAAGACCCAAGAATTGAAGGTTGTAAAGTCGTGGATTTTGTTACTCAATACTCGCAGTGGAGTTGTAACTTTGTTAATTTGTTTGTTTTGTAATATGTATTATATATTTATTTGTTTGAACTTTGAATTACTTGGATTTTGGACTCAAGAGCTACTTAATTATTACATTTATTTGTTTGGATATTTTGTTTTGTTAAAATGGATTTAATCTAAAATTCTAAAATATATATATGTTTTTCTAAGTTTAATATTTGAAGTTCATTAAAGACCCAAACTGCCTAAACCGGTCAGACCAGGCCGCATTTTCATGATCTGGTTTGACCGATCTGAGCATTTGATGTCAAACCGTCCGGTTTGAAAATTTTATAAACCGCCATTACGATTTGTTTTGTGGTCTGAGGGGTTAAACCGTCCAAACCGGACTGCGAACACCCCTTCTCTTACCACAATTTTTAATCCAATTCAATCTAACTTTTTTTATCATTTAACGGTAATTCAATTCAATCTAAAATATGATTTTATAAAAATTATATATCTTAATTTTAAATTATTACCTTTTAAATATAAAAATAGATTAAACGGGCAATTGCATATTTTAAAACGTAATTATAATTATAAAAACTAATCATACAATTGAAATTAAATAATACAAGTCACAAAAATAAGTAAGAAATTACATATCTGAAATACATAAATGATCTTGCTTAAATACCAGGATCAAATTTTTGTCATATATGTTCAATCAAATAATTTTGTAGCGTTGAGCTTCCCTATTGTGAAGTTGTTCCTTATTAGCCATATAACGGGATAGGTTTGCAATCCATTCAGTAGAGAATTCAGTTGATTGATCTCGTTGTTGATTTGTGAGCATGTCGTTAAGAAACTCAGTAGGATCATAATAATTTTGGTATGTATCCCTTTCGTCTTCAACTATCAAATTATGCATGATGATACAATCATTCGTAATTCGTCCCATTTTCTGTTTGCCCCAAACAAGACATTGTCTTTGAATAAATGCAAAACGAGTTTGTAGAACTCCAAATGCTCGTTCAACATCTTTTATGACGACCTCTTGAACTTGAGCAAACAACTTGTGCTTCCGCATTTGGGGAGATGTAACTGACTTGACAAATGCAGCCCATGAAGGATAAATGTCATAATTGAGATAATATGCCCTATCATTTTCGTGACCATTCGTGACATAACTAACTTTTGGTGATCAACCTGCCAATGCATCATCAAAAACATGAGATTGGTGGAGTACATTAATATCATTAAGCGAACTTGGTATTCCAAAGAAAGCATACCATATCCTTAAATCATATGATGCAACAGCTTCCAAAATGATTTTTGGCTTTCCACTTCTTCCGATATATTTTATGGCCCATGCACTTGCACAAATTTTCCATTCTCAATACATGCGGTCAACACTACCTATCATACTCGGGAACCCACATTGATCTCCAACATAGAGTAGTCTTGCCAAATTAGCTTCGTAGGCTTTCTTAGGTACTCATCACTAAAACATGAGATGACACCATCTACAAAGTGCATGAGAGATTCTGACGCAGTAGGTTGCGTGGAATAGGATCGACCAGTGTCAACCGAAAAGTAAATAAATTCCACAAGCGTGAAATTAAACAAGAACTCGTAAAACGGTAAGCAAAGCAAAGCCAGGTTGTATTGATAATTTAATCTCCTCCAAAATAGCTATTAACATGGTTCTTAAATAGACTAGGAAATAAAACGAAATTAGGAAACGTCTAGAAAAAAGGAAACTAAATAATAAAGGAAACTAAATAATTAAAGGCAAGCAGTAAAAAGGAAACTAAATAATTCGATTGCGTTTTCCTTCGATTTGTCGGGCCAGGCGACCCGTATCAGTCTCCTCCACCTCTAAAGAACTCGACCCCGAGTTCTCTTCCAAAGGGAGATCATCCGCATAGTAATCGTACAGATCCGCGACATTAAAGGTGTTGGAGATGTGAAGCGAATCGGGAAGGGCGACGACATAGGCATTGTCGTTGATTTTTTTGGTGATCTTGAAAGGTCCGTACTTCTTGGGTTGGAGTTTGCCGTAGGTTCCAAYGGGAAATCGTTCTTTTCGGAGAAAAACCATCACATCATCACCTATCTGAAAAACTTTCTTGCGACGTCGTTGATCCGCGACTTCTTTGTTCTTCACACCAATTTGTTTCAAGCGAGCTTTGACGTTTTCTTTTATGGCTTGAACATCTTTAGCCATATTCTCCGCGGCAACACTCGATCCAGGTAGACGTGGGAGTTTGACTAAGTCAACAACATGCTTGGGAGCCGTTGTGTAAACGAGAGAGAAAGGGGAACAACCGGTCGCCGAATGAGTTGCACTATTGTAGGCGAATTCGATTTGGGATAAAGCGAGATCCCACTGTTTCGGTTTACCACTACAAACACTTCTAAGCATGTTTCCCAACGTTCGATTGGTTACCTCAGTTTGACCATCGGATTGCGGATGCGCCGTGCTACTTTTGTTGAGTGAGGTACCAAACAATCTCCAAAGAGTGATCCAAAAGTGACTTAAAAACTTCGAATCACGATCGGAAGTAATAGTCTTGGGAACCCCATGAAGGCGTACAACTTCTTTGAAAAATAACTTGGTGATATTACTTGCGTCAGCTGTCTTTTTGCAAGCAATAAAATGTGACATCTTTGAAAAACGATCTACGACGACAAAAATAGAGTAAACGCCTCGTTGCGTGCGGGGTAAGCCAATGACAAAATCCATGGACAAATCTTGCCATATGTCGTCCGGAACCGGTAGTGGTAAGTAAAGGCCGGTGTTTTGGCTTTGGCCTTTGGCGGTTTGGCATGTATAACACTTGCGAACAATGGCGCCAACGTCGCACCTCAAACGGGGCCAATAATATCGCTCAATGACACTAGCGATGGTTTTGTCTCGGCCAAGATGCCCACTTAGACACCCTCCATGTAAATCTCGTATCAACTTTTCGCGAAGAGAGGAATTAGGGATGCACAATTGATTACCTTTAAAAAGATAACCGTCGTTGATATAGTAATCATCCATCAGTGTTCCGCCTTTGCATTTGGAACAAAGAATTTTGAAGTCATCATCGTCCTCGTATTGATCCTTAAGAACTTCAAACCCGGTAATCTCTTGAGAGAGAGTGACCATCAAGGTAGCACGCCGACTCAAGGCGTCGGCTACTTGGTTAAGTACTCCCGACTTGTGCTTGATCACAAAAGGGAATTTTCGCAAGTAACTTACCCAACGTGCGTGCATCTTATTCACCGATTTTTGACTATTGATGAATTTCAAGGCTTGATGATCGGTAAAAAGAACGAACTCTTTTTGTACGAGATAGTGTTCCCATTGTTTTAAAGCACGAAAGACCGCATAAAATTCTTGATCGTAAGTGCTCCACTTTTGTCTCKCCTCGCTTAGCTTTTCGCTAAAGAACGCAATCGGTYRTTTTTCTTGGGATAGGACGGCTCCTACTCCCACACCACTTGCGTCACATTCGACTTCAAAAATCTTGCTAAAATCGGGAAGTGCGAGAACCGGTGTTGTGCTCAACTTTTCTTTGATCAACGCAAAGCTTTGATCTTGAATGGGCCCCCATTGAAATTTCCTTTCTTTAAGCACTCGGTGATGGGTGCGGTGATCGTACTAAAGTTTTGCACAAATCTCCGGTAAAAGGTGGCCAAACCGTGGAAACTTCGAACATCGGAAACGGTTTTCGGTGTCGGCCATTCGTTGATTGCACGTACCTTCTCTTCATCAACTTCGATTCCGGATTCTCCCACAACAAATCCCAAAAATAAGAGCTTACTTGTACAAAAAGTACACTTTTTGATATTGATGTAGAGTTTACTATCTTGGAGCACGGAAAGAACTTCTCGGAGATGCGTTAAGTGATCATCTTTGCTTCGGCTATAGATGAGGATGTCATCGAAATACACGACCACGAAGGATCCAATAAAAGGACGAAGGACTTGATCCATCGTCCTCATAAAAGTGTTTGGCGCGTTGGAAGTGCCAAAAGACATGACAAGCCATTCGTATAGCCCAAAAGGTGTTTTGAACGCCGTCTTCCATTCATCACCCGGACGGATCCGGATTTGGTGATAGCCGCTACGAAGATCAATTTTGGAAAACACCTTTGCGCCGGCTAGTTCATCAAGCATATCCTCAAGACGAGGAATGGGGAACCGGTATTTGATGGTGATTTTGTTGATGGCGCGACTATCAACACACATCCTCCATTGGTTGTTCTTTTTTGGTACGAGAAGGACAGGGACGGCACACGGGCTAAGACTTTCACGAATGAATCCCTTCCGTAAAAGATCTTCGACTTGATCCCTCAGAATTTCGTTTTCCTTGGGGCTCATCCGGTAGTGGGGAAGGTTTGGTAAATTAGCACCGGGAATTAAATCAATTTGGTGTTGGACGTCCCTCATAGGTGGTAGTTCGGGTGGGAGGTCATCGGCGGTTAATTCTTTGAAATCCCGTAAGATCTCATCGACTTCCGTCGGAATCTCGGAAACGGTCTCTTCAGTATGCATCAACCCTTTGACGACGATTGGGCAAAAAACTTGAGATTCCTTATATGCTCTCTCCATGTCTTGCTCGTTTGATGTTACGACCAAGAAACTCATGCTTTGCTTTTCCGGGACTTTATCAAATCGGGCAACGGGTGCTATGGCAATTTTTCGATCGCCCCATTAGAATAGCATCACGTTGTCTCTTCCCTTGTGAGTAACGTTGTTGTCGTATTGCCACGGTCGTCCGAGTAATATGTGGCATGCATCCATATCCAAAACATCGCAAAGTACTTCTTCTTTGTAGTATTTGCCAATAGAAAGAGGAACCTTGCAAACTTGAGTCACTCGTGCTTGCGGCCCTTTCTTGACCCATCCAAGTGCATACGGCGATTCGTGAGGTTGAGTCGGTAGACCYAAGTGATCGACAAGCTTTTGAGCCACCAAGTTTTCGCAACTACCATTGTCTATGATCAAATTGCAAATCTTTTTGTTGATCGAGCAATAAGACCGGAAGAGGTTTTTTCGTTGACCGTCTTCTTTTGGGGCGAGAAGAACTCGTTGGAGTACGATATTGACTTTTTCTTCCTCGAAATYTTCTTCYGCAAAATCAGCGCCTTCGTACTCTTTTTCTTCGTYGTCGWATTCTTCTTCGTTCACAAGCCCGGTGGTTCTCCGGTTGCTACATTCGTTCGACTTATGACCCGGTAGGCCACAACGATAGCACTTAGGAGCCGATGGTTTCGCGTAGGGGTTCGTGGGTTTTGGTGCGGTTGGCTTGGCGGTGGTTGTGGTTCGAGGGGGATCGGAATCGCGTAGACTCGGGCGAGTTACTACGTTTTTTCCTTTGTCGGGATTTGAGCTAGGGGCGTCGGTGGAGGTTTGAGTGGGGTAGCGACGGTATAGAGATCRGGTGGTTTTCTCCATTAACTCGGCTTTTATGGCCAAATTRGAAGCTTCAGAGATGGTCCACGCGGTTTGGAGTCCGATTTTTTCTTGGATGGAAGGCTTCAAACCGTTGATGTAGCGTGCGACTCTTTGACCCTCCGTTTCGCCTACCTCATTTCGATCGGAGTAACGGATAAACTCCGTTGTGTATTCGGACACGGATCTRGAACCTTGGGAAYAATCCAAGTACATTCGGTAGAGAATCTGTTCGTAATCCTCCGGTAGAAAACGATCTGACATTAATTGCTTCATTCGTCTCCATGAACGAACCGGGCCCTTGTGTTGTCGTTGTCGTTGGGTGGTTAAACGATCCCACCAAACGGCGGCGGTGTTYTTTAAGCGGAAAGCCACCATCTTGACTTGCTTATGSTCYGGGATTTCMATGATTTCAAAGAAACGGTCAACCTCGATTTGCCAATCGAGGAAGTCTTCGACGCCTACGTTTCCATGGAAGTAAGGGATGTCGGCYTTCATTCGGTAGTCTGGATCGTTGCGAGGTGGTCGCTCTTCCTCCTCAGGTTCTGATTCGGAACTAGAGTGAACGCTAGGGGCTAGTTGATGACGGGGTGGTGGTCTACGATCGGGGTGTCTGTCTCTTACCGGACGCCTGTTGATGAGAGTACTGATTCGATTGATAAGGGTGTCTTGTGAGTTGGTGAAGGCGTTGGTTAGAGCCGTGGTGAGAGCCGCGGTAAGGTCGTCAAAATCGACTCGGGTGAGGGGTTGGTTGTCTCCCATTGCGGGGTTGGGGAGAGACAGGAAACTGTGCTTTGATAACAACTGACGCAGTAGGTTGCGTGGAATAGGATCGACCAGCATCAACCGAAAAGTAAATAAATTCCACAAGCGTGAAATTAAACAAGAACTCGTAAAACGGTAAGCAAAGCAAAGCTAGGTTGTATTGATAATCTAAWMTCCTCCAAAATAGCTATTAACATGGTTCTTAAATAGACTAGGAAATAAAACGAAATTATGAAACGTCTAGAAAAAAGGAAACTAAATAATAAAGGAAACTAAATAATTAAAGGCAAGCAGTAAAAAGGAAACTAAATAATTCGATTGCGTTTTCGTTCGATCTGTCGGGCCAGGCGACCCGTATCAGATTCCCATGTTGTGGATCCACTCATTCTCAAATATTCGTCAACTACATCGACTGATGTCCCATATGCCAACACCCTATGGCTATAGTACATTTTTGGAATAGTGAAAGACTTTTACTCGTGGCATCAACTCTTTATGGAAAATATTCGTAATTAGCAACAACAACATCCACTATACGACGGAATAGAGGTCTTCACATTCAAAATCTTTTTCAGAAGATAACCTGGTCATACATCAGATTATCGATAAAATAGTCTTCCAGCAAATGTGTTTCGCCCATATCACGTTGCCTATCACGATACCTCCTAATTGCTCTTGGAGGTTGATCTCTTATGAACAGATTGGATTAGTTTATTGAGCATATCCTCGATGATGCGATCGAGTTTTTGGTTTTGTTGAAAAACTCATGATTGCCATTCATCAAATTCGTCAACTGATTTTGGTGACGAGTTTTCATTGAGAGACATTTAATGGGTGTTTGAAGAAAATTGTATGTACAAGTCTTTGTTGAAAGACAATTTGTGATGGAAGTATTAAAGCTAAAAAAAATGATGCCTTGAATATGCTACAAATTGGTTCAAGATGAAGATAACAAGATAGATATTTAGATACATTAACTGATATTAAGTTTGAGATGTTATTTTTTGGTTTTTTAAAACGAAGTTATAGATGCGCTAGATGGAACCCTGATACATACAGTCGTTCTTGGTGATCAACAAACAACGTATAGAGGAAAAGGAAGAGGGGAAGGCTACCAAAATATTTTAGCAATTTGTGATTTTAATATGATATTCACGTTTATTTGGGTTGGATGAGAAGAAATTGCACATATATATATATGTCTTTTTTGTACTTCTAATGCGTTGTATATGTAATTGCAAATATATATTATTTTTGGGATGCCACATATACTTGCACACAAGGATTAATGACGTTGACGTGCATTAACTAAAGAAGAAAACACCTTAAAAACGTCATCGAGCACGCTTACGATGCTAGATTTTCAATCCTAGCAAATGGCTCCTGATCCTTTTCAAGTACAAAAAAGATGTGGTGATTGTTTGCTTGTTTTACAATTCATAACTTTATAAGGAAATATAATATCCAAAGATCAATTATTTATAGAATATGATAAAAACACCATTTTTATCGTAATTGAAGAACAGCCTTAAGAAAGCAATTAAACAAAAGTTAATGAAATGCAATGGAGTTCTCAAGACAAGACTAATTTCCATAATCAGATTTCAAATCAATTATTGTCCAATGTTTCAATTAAGATTTGTACACAAATTAATATATTAAAATTCAATTTATTTTCTTGTTTAAATATATTTCAAATTATGAAATTTGTAAATTTTTTGTCATTCAACAATTATTCATACATAATATTTCGCAAATAGTTGCATTATATTTAACACGACTTGGGATCATGTGAGACCAAGGGTTTTTCGTGAGACCCATAAGACCAATTCTCAACCTTTAGATTAGATCTACAATCTGAACATTCATAATCACAAAATTGCCATAAGACTTTTTAATAATCACAAAATTGTCACCATACAACTTTAGACCATTAGATCATTAGCTTATAAAGTTGATCAATAAACATAAATTGGTCTTACAGGTCTCACGAAAAACCATTGGTCTCACATGAACCCAACCTTATTTAACACTTCACTATATATAAAGTTAATAATCATCATTTTTTGCCGATTAGTACCAAATCCAGAATATTTGGTAAACAGTCATTTTCCAAACATCACTTGTTTCAGCAAAGCCGCTTACTATAGTCAGAGCTCTTATTCCAGATAGCTTACCAGCTGTTGTCGGTAAACAGAACGTAAGAATAGACATTTTTCGGCTGGACCACGCTGGATTTGGTTTTTTACCTCGCCGATCCAAACGGTCCAACTTTTTTTAGACCGTGTCTACAAGGATTTGACCAAACCGGACTCTTTCTTTGAGACCGGTCCATGTGAAAACAGACCCATCTCGTGTTTCTAAGCAACCCTAGACTCGATATGTTCATAGTCCATATGAAAATGCCAAAAACCATGCTAAAAAGGCGGAAAGCTCGACCACAGAAGATTCGAATGTAAACTACAAGAAGAAACATTGAGATACCAGAAGTACTTTTCAGGTACAAACTCCAAAAGCAAACATTAACAATCATAAAGATGACTGTTGTCAAGATTCAACAAGTCCACAATTTCATGTTCTCTGATTTTGTATTTATACGACAAATTGGTTGCCATAAAATTTGTTCCTTCCCGAATAGAAATTTCTAGTTTCATAAAACCTAGTCGATCGCTTACTTACCCCTTTCAGAGATAATCATTCTCATTTGCGAGCTTCAGTCTTCTTTTGTTCTTTGGCTGAAAATGTCAAGTTTTAGAACGGATAAAACGATAAGATAAAAACAGGGTCGAGATTTAAGACATTACCAGCCTTCTCTTCTTCTCGTTTCTTGGCAGCTTCTGCCCTCTGTTGCCTGATAAGGGCCAGTCGCTCTACAAAAAAGAAGCAAAATGTTGTTCGAGTTTTAGAGAGGTGTGTGTCATAATACAAGATGCATGCATTATAGAAGCCTTGAACCAAAATGCAACTTCTGTTCTGAAACAAACAGATGCAACACTTGATTTTTCACACCCATCAACGATTAGAAGTTTGCCCTAAACCCTAAAATAGCAATCAAAAATTTACATCCATATATGAAATGCCAAATTCTACCCTATCTCCATGTGGGAATACTTGGTTCGTTTGGTTTATATCATCATATGATGCAGGGATCACAGATATAAAATGTTAAAAATGGTTGAGGTGATACAGAATGAAATAGCCGCATTTATTAAGAGACATGCCCAAGACGATATTGGAATTTTTCCAGACAGGAGTGTCTGAAACACAACCTAATTGATAAATTCCTCGGTAATCGGCAATTAATATCATATTGGTTTACCTAAATCTTTCTTTGCTTGATCTGTTTTCCCCTGCTCTTGCAACTTCATGTACCTTTCATGAGCCCTCTGTTTCTCGATTTCTTCTCTGGTGGGAGAAAGAGAATGAGAGTTAAAAAATATGTGCAACCTTTTCATTTGACATCAACATTGAAGTGACATTTCGAAAAAGAAATCAAACAAATACTTGATTTATAAGACACCTTGGACTCCTATATGACTTTTGAACATAAACATCGGTGGCAAGTTGCAAAGCCCTTTAAAAACCGATTTACAGTCACATTTTCAGCATTGCGACTTTTGCAAATTTTTAGCTGTTGATGTTTGCAATAGGACACTTGGGTTTTCACTATGCCTTAGCAGGAATGGTGGGAAGTGTGTATATATTACATGTTCTAGTGCAGGAAGGAAAAACGTAAATTCGGTCTCAAGTCAACTAAAGTGCCTTTTTCCGTTTAAGCTCTAGCAGTGCCAAATTTTTAACAGGTTCACGATGTGTGTAGGACTGCAAGTTGATGTGTATGATTGTCTAAAAACAATATCTAGCAAGCCCAAATGATATTCTCCATCTAAAAAATATTGACCCCATTTTTGGCTGTATGGTATCAAGCATGCTAAATATTGCCTTCAATTTGACAACAGATCTTTATTTGTTGGAAAACACAAATAACTGCCCATGCAGCAAAAAGTATTGAATAAAGTAAAATTGCATCTAGAACCCAGAACCAACATTCAACTCTTATTGGGACACAGGTAGTATTCAATATATGAGATATATTCTTTCTGTTTATTTCTATAAACAGAAAGCACAATGATCTTCTTGTCCCTCCATGACTACATCCTAAAACATAATATGGAGGAAATGGGTCAAAGAAAAAAAAACAGGTATATAAAATACAATATGCAACTAGATGATTCTTATCAAATACATAACAAAAAAGAGGAAACAGGAGAAGCATTTACGACCTTTCACGTCTTGATAATTCAGTTGTCTTGTCCAGCTGTACAAAAGATCAGTGTCAGCCACTACAATTCCAAAAGATGTTCATCTGAATTTGTATAATATGCTCCATTCTTTTTTGTTAATCATTTTTTGACTCTGAATTCCAAACATGCATGTTTGAAAATGAAGTTCATATCTTAATATCTTATTCAACATTATTAAGAGCCGCTCGTTTTTATTTACTATATATTATTTAACATTATAAACAGCCGCTCGGTTTTATTTACTATATATTATTTAACATTATTAATAGCCACTTGTTTTTATTTACTATATTTGATTAACATTATCAACAGCCACTTGCTTTTGTTTACAGGACTTGTATATTGTGGTGTGGCTATCAATTTTCCTCAAATTTTAAATACATTGATATCAATTTTTAAATGTATTGTGGTTCCTTTAATTGAAGTCAATGCATGACATTAATGAGAACGGAATATAAACACTGGGAACTTACATCAACATCTCTGGCTTTCATGGTCTTTGGCTTGGATGTATTAGGGTTCTCGATCTCAATAACACCTTGGGGTCCTTTCTTCCTCTATAGACATTACAGGAATGATAAAAGAACAATACTAAAAGTAAGTATCTATAAAAATGAAGTGCCACAATTTACTCACTTCAGATTCTTCCTCAGACTCCTCTTCAGATTCTTCTGATCTCTCTTCCTCTTCAACTTCAGCTTCCTGGTAAACCAACATTAGCCTCCAAACAAATGCTTACACAATCAACAAAATATAATTTGTTAGCCACCACAAAAACAAAAACCAAGCTTAAGTCCACTAATGGCTACCATCCAATAGTCAAAAATAGACTTAAGAAAAACCAAGTTGATGACATGCAGGGCACCCTCCTTTCCATGCAAACAGTAAGTGGGAATGAAGTTTATCTATTATGAACATTAGAAAAAAAAAATCTACTTTTCTTTACAGCTCCATACTTGTTTGAAGCATATTTATCAAAATCATACAATTTGCAACACAAATTTTACAATTGGATTTGATTCAAGACCAAATGATATGTTTCTCATAAATGAATCAGAGCCTGACTCGTTAACTATTGTATTGGTGAACGCAGAAGAACTAAAAAAAACTTATGTATCCAAACCATCCAAACTCCTTCATATCAAGATCACAAGTAGGAACTGAAATTTTGAATGAGATGAAAGAACCGAATAATGAAAGCTTGAAATACAGTGACCACTGAACCATGTGTTAAATCCTACAACTTCCCATGCAATAAGGTTCTATGAAAGTCTCGCCCCACAACTTCAAAATGAAAATGGACCAATGACAGGAAGAATAGAGAAGCAAGTGACAAAAAAAACTCGTGTTATCTTTGCAAGGAATTAGCCTCTCTCATACACATTTTCATATAATAAACACTCTATAACAATAATGGTGAATTATAGCAACATATATAGTATCAGAGAGAACTATATAACTAGAACTAGAGAACTAATCAGCTACAACTAACATATAGAATAACAAAGAAAGAAAACATACAATTACGATATAGATATAAGAGGCAATACTAATAAATACATGTCCATAATCCTAAATCCCAAATTACCTTTACAAGACTAACAGATATATTGTCTACCCACATATGGAAAAACCTAATTTCCAATTAACAAAGACCTTGAAAACACATTGATGACCTTATTCGCTATTGATCAACTAACATAAGCAAACTAGGATCATCATTCAACCATCCCATCATGGCCTCATTGTTAATCTTAATAATCAGTAGTATGTTTTTTAAGTGAAATTTTCCAACCCTTCACCATGATGCGGATGGCAAAGGCATATTACTAAGAAATGTGCAGTGCGAGAATATTTGGTTTCCATATATAAAATTGACCACCACCAAAAAGCTTCTGGATCATACATCAACTATGAGCTAAGAACACATCTCCATGTACACCCTGTACCCTACCTAATTAATTTCCCTACATAGAAATTTTGCTAGATTGATGATAACTATAAAGTTTACTTCCCCAAAAGGAAGCATCCAAGATCATGAAGTTATCCAAAAAGAGTAAAAATAAATTGGATTATGCTAACAATTTTATAAATATTATGTTTTATATGCTGCATATACACATGCATGCTTTATATGCTGCGTAATACACATGCACGCTTTATATGCTGCATATACACATGCAAGGACTCGTATTGTTAAAACTGCAAGAAGCTAGTATTAACTTGACAAAAATCATGATGACTTGCACTGCCTGATCACTTGAGAAAGTTTTTTCAGATCCGAACCATTCTTTGATTTCAACCTTTGCTACACTCATATCTTAGTTTTTTTCTGTTAATAACGAAATCTAAAAAAGATCATGATTGCTTCTTGGAACATGCCTAAGAAATGAAAACAAATAAAGGCATATAATCATTACCCATAGATTGGGCTACCGCCTACCAGTCAAAAGATCATCATTGCTTCTTGTCAAAAAGAAGATTAGTAAAATTACCTTTTTAAAAGTGCGAGGGCGTGAAGAAGTACCAGCAACTGCAATCATCAATGCAAACTTATCATCAAAAAAAAATTAGCCAACAATTATTATCACACATCATCCAGTTTCACTAAGATAAACTTGGAACATGCCTAAGAAATGAAAACAAATAAGGGCATATAATCATTATTTAAGCTTCAACTTTGAACAAGAAAGAAATATCGGAAGCAAGAATCAAAGAATATAGTGCCATATTACCACGATAGTAGTCCATGCTTATTTGGGTGGCCCATGATAATTTATATTTTGGTCATATACGGTTTTTATTTCTTACAAATAACTACCTGATAAGGATTGCAAGATACCGGCAGTGACGTTAGGCAGGGGCGGATTCAAGGCATTGGGGTAGGAGTAAAGGACCCCAACAAAATACTGACATGTACTAAACACTCCGTTATCATGTGGTGAGGTTCACATGCTTTTACCTATAATTCTTAGTTCTTACAGTGCCCCCCAACAATTAAAGTCTAATTCCCCAACCCAACCTTAACTCCTGCAATCTCATCTCACTCATGCATATGGCTCTCATGTGTGAGCTCTCACCTCACGCACACTCCACACACATATCTCTCATCTCTCGTCTCTCGTCTCTCGTCTCTCGTCTCTCGTCTCTCGTCTCTCGTCTCTCGTCTCTCGTCTCTCGTCTCTCGTCTCTCGCATGTTCTGCAAAAACCGTGTTAGATAAAAGGTAACTAGTTTACCAACTTTTAGTAGAACAGTGTCTTTTAATTAATTATTATTGTATTTTATCATTACAACAAAATCGGGTATATAAGACATCAAAAATATTTAAATGTCCTAATAGATTGTTTTATATGACTTAAAGTCATAGGATCAAACAATTCTTCCTCCTATGTAAAAACTTTGCAACAAGTTTATAGGACATTTTTGGTCTCTCAACTTGTTTTTTAGGATACTTTTAAGATAAAATGCCGTATTAGTTTTTTTATGGGACACTTGTTTTTATAAGACACATTTCAAATAATGTCATAAAAATATTAATATGACGTTTTAGTTGAAAAATGTCCCAAAAAACTTGTTAAAGGGCTTGAAATCGACTTGTAAACTCATTGCAACACTTTTACATAGGAAGTACAATTGTTTGGTCTTATAAGATAATAAATTTGGGCACTTAGTTCTTTGACGTCCTATAAACCCGATTTTGTTGTAGTGTGTATTATGCCCTCAATGACTATATTTTCTGGATCCACCACTGACTTTAGGATCATCTTTAGGATTATTTCCTTACTATTATCAAGATAATTGTTGGTATTTATATTTATTCCTTCAGTCCAATTAAAAGTGTCCACATTTCTATTTAAGATTCTCTCATAATAAGTGTCGGCTTTCATGAATAGATGGTTATAATTTACTACATTCCCAATTCCACCCTTAATTATGATGCACGAATATTTGAAATTTGATTAAATGGAGAATTCATTAGTGGAATTATTATATAATTCTAAAACTGTGCGCTTTTTATCAAGGGTAAAATTGTCTTCCATATAAATAAAAAGTGTGTAATTATATTTCTGAAACTGTGTGCATTTTTTTATTGTGGGCATTATTTTGGGACGAAGGGAATATCATTTATTATTATAGTCTTTAAGACAAGTATGAGTTCATATTTTTATTGTTAGTCTTGTATATAGGTTGTAATACAAAGATTATTGCTTGCATCACTACCATGTTATATATTTCATATCTACCATAAATAAATAAATAACTAAATTAAATTAAGTGAGGGCTTCCACTGGCTACAGACCACTTTTTATCAACTACAGTTTGGAACTTGATTGACTTAATCAACCAATGAAATTCAGCAACCATTCAATATGGTGCAAAAATCAGATAGGCTACTAGAAATAAGAATGTCAGACCAGGTGAAAAGATATAGGCCCTTGATGACCTATAAGATGGAGTTGGAAACAAAATGATTCACATCCAGTGCAGATTATTAGTGGGCAACAATTTCTATAAGTTATTGAAAGAAAGAGGAAGTTTCAACTTTTAAAGCATATTGAACTCCCAGTGTTATGCGGCAGCGGCATGTTTCTACATTTCCTCTTTGTGATGTTCCACAATGCGTCTTCTTTCTAATTCGTACTATGCGATATTTATATCATTTTATGAAATGTGTATCCTATCGTATTCTCACTTTTCCATTTTTTGAAATACTTTATAAGAGATACCATCTTTATATTCTAAAGTTGTGTTGAACATGCATCTGTTGTTCTCTTCCGTTTAAGATTAGATCACTCGCATATTTTTCTTTTTATTACGTACAAAGGGAAAATTTTCAGAGTCAAAGAATTCTCATGGTTGTACCAATTCAACTTCAAATGTGTAAAACAATATGAAAGGAGTGATTCATAATAACAATAACAATGGCATTTAGAAATACACGTGGGAGGGTAACCCTATTCTCAAATTGTATAAGCATGAACAAAAAGTCAGCCATTTTATTCAAGCAAAGCAAAGCAAAGTATCAGAATAAATGTTAGTTACAATGCCACATACAACCATATAATTTGTGATTTTATACATAAATTTCATTCCTTTCATGAACTTCTGCATCATGTCTTTCCTCTTAATATGTGAAAGTTGTATCAACATATGGTCATTTTAATACTCATTAAATGGTAACAATAATATCTTCACCAAATTAAGCATAAAAACCGGAATTGAGACAAGTAAGCGACCATTCATAAAAAATACTGTATAAGATTAGTCTAACCCCAAAGGTAATCAAATGATAGTTTTCTTTTTCTTAAAAGACCAATAACTCCTACACCTTAGTAAACTATCAAAATAGAACTTGTTTAGAACAAGCATTTCCATGATCACTCTTGCTCAGAAAAAAAATAACCAAAGCGTCCATGGTTTTATTCCTGCACTTGTGGTTGCCAAGTGAAACACCATGGGTGAATCAATGTGCAGTCAGCAAAAGTATTCAGGTCCTATTAGTTTACACTAAGGTGTGCAGGTCTAGAAATAAAGTACTTTTTCAAATCAATTCCACTTATAAACTATTAAAGCCCACGACCAAAACAGAAAAACAAACAAATTCAAAAACAAGACAAAATAAAAAACCCAGGTTTTTCTCCAAATTGTCGACGAAATCCAGTGACCATTCTGTGCAGTTCAAGTAATTAGAGAAAGATAAAAAAGATATTAAATCCCGAAGGGTCCATGGAAACTTTGAAAAATCAAGGCACGTTGATCGAAATCCATAACGTAATTCAGACAAATACACCATATAAGTCGAACAACGGAAAACTAAAGATAATCACAAACAAAAGATGATTTAGTAACATACTCATCTCTTCCGTCGTAGAGAACTGACGGCGACCAGTAGGCTTGCCCTTGAACTTCCCTCTTCCCATTCTCGACTAGTTTACCTTACAAAAACCAACGATCGAAATCGATTAAACAGAAGAAAGAAGCACGAATATTTTATAATCTCGAAGTGCCCTCTTCCTCAATCTTTAATCGATGAGAAATTGGAATAAAATTCCCCCAAAACAATAGAACCCTAGCTTTTGCAGACAAGAACACGGACAAAACCAGTTATGGTATATAAAATCCGACCCGTATTCGGAAGTTGATCAATATTAATCCAAGGGATGGTATTGGTTTTTCTTAATACAATATAATTTTTTTAAAACATGAATAATATTTTTATTTTTAAAATTGAGTTAGATTTTGGGAAAAAATCTAAAAAAACCCAATGGATTTTAGTGTTTGGAATGATCAAGTTTTTGGACAATTTTTTGGAACAAATAAGTTATTGGATATTCCAAAACATGTTAAATAACTCCTTGAACAATTTTTTGAAACAAATAAGTCATTGGACATTCCAAAATATGTTAAATAACTCTTTCAACAATTTAAAACATGTTAAATAACTCATTGAACAATTTTTTGGAACAAATAAGTCATTGGACGATCTAAAACATGTTAAATAATTCTTTGGACTTTTCTAAAACATGTTGGATATATTCTTATGACTTGTACAACTAGTTAATGTGGTAAAATAGTGAAAAAAGTCCGAAAAAAACCCCAATGAACATTCATATTTTGATCGATTAAGCCCCTAAACATTTTTTGAACAAAAAATGATTTAAATCTATAAAATTAAATAAATATAACAAAAAAATACTTACATTTACAAAAAAAATTACATTTAAAAGAGACTTTTGATAAAATTTATTTTAATTAATATTAAAATATATTTATTTAGTGATTTTTCAAACTAAAAT